TCTCTAGATGTGATCATCGGGAATGAAAAAGTTGCTCCCTTTCAAAACTAGACGTCAAAGACTATGCCTTGAAAGATTTCAGCCAGCTTACATTCAGACTGTCACCTTGAATGATCTTGTGAAAAAAATTTAAAATTTATATAGAATTATTTATTATTATAGTAATAATCTTTATTAAAATAAGTCAAAAAATAATAAACCATTTTTTATTTTTTACTAACAATTTAAATAAAGTAAAGATTTTCTTTTGAAATCTTTATAACTATTAATAATTAATAAATATCAAGTTTATTAATTAAAAAAGATTTAACAAGTTCAAATTTAAAAATTTTATATGATTAATTAAAAATTTTATAAAAAATTATATAAATAGCAGTTATTTATATATTATCTATTTTTAGGTTTCAACCGGTTGTGCAGGAATGAATCCTTCTTTAACCCATTTAACATGACAAATCCAATTAGGTTTTTTGGATTATCTAGATTGTTTGAATTGTATAATCTTGTAAATTTTTTAAATTCTTTGGTCGATAATTCCCTAGCCAGTAAGAAGTTTAGGATTAAAAAATTTACTAAGAAATAGCTGGTAGATAGATTTCCTGCTTCATATGTGCTTGTGTAATTTATTTTTTTCACCAATAAAGCAGACCAAGGTCATTTTTTCTAGCTAAAGACACGTGATCGAATCATATGTTTGAGATAACGTGATTTCAGAGTCGATCGTGGTACTAATTGACTCGTGCACGGGCTAATGATAGCAGAATGAACATTGTTTCCAGAATGAACATTGTTCTGGTTTATTTGATGGCATTGGATTCACACTATAAGTTAAAAATTTACAGAATGTCAAGTATTTTAATTAACCATATTTTATGCACACTCTTTATTATTATAAAGAAAATGCACCGAAAAGTTTATGTACATTTTTTTGGCGTAGTTGTCTTTACAACGTTATTCTTAGTAAACTTAAGCCATAACATGAAATGGATTGTGGTGTTTCCAGTCCTCTCACGAAATGCATAAAAAAAATAATGAAACGATTATCCCTATAAAAGATGATTTTTTTTTCGTTATATCAATCCTGCAAATTTAGCAGAGTTAGTATAAAAGTGCTAAAATTAATAAGCGAAATAATACAATTCATAAAATTTTTGCAGTTATCTTCGAAATAAATTAAACCCATCGAATTCATCACAGAACTTAATTTACTTGACTTTGATTGAGATAGGTTTTTGTACCACACCGTGCAAAAGCTCATCAATGTTATCGCAGAAATTGGCAAAATCAAAGCCGAAGTTAACTCTCGTGATGCTGACAATGTAACGGAGGCGCAGAACATTATTTCCACAATTAATAATCTCACTGGGAAATATAATGAAGTCGAGCGAGTTCTTGAAACTTATTATAGTAATTTTAGTCGAATTGCAGCTGAATTCGAAAAAATCGGCAGAACCATCACGATGATCCTAAGTGAAATTAATCAACGTTATTACCAGGACATAAATATGAGAGGATCCGATTAACCAAGTTAAGCATCATCATTCTCAATCCATTCTTTATATTCTGCCCATTCATCTCCAAAATAATAATTGCTTGAAGTGTCTAGGCCGATCACAGAATCTGAACAAATTCAATTCGCAGATATTACTTTAGCAATTTGCTCCCGCTTTAAAAAAGTCTCAAAAGAATCATGGCAGAGAAAAACTATACTTTCGATGAGATGTGTCATAGTAGTATAGTATGAGTCAAGAAAAGGAATGATCATTTTACTATGTAAAAGGCCTAGGATCCGACGAAAATTTATGCTTTATTCCTCCCGCTGCTTAGCTCTCTATTTCTTATTTCTATTCACCGGATTAGCCTTTACATTGTAGTTTATAGTATTTTAGCGAAGTTAGCACGGCTAAAAAATAATTTTGCAGATTTTAATAAAGGCTTATTCGTTATTTTAAATTCGTGAGTATACTATTCACACAAAAAATAACATGATACATTGTACGTTCTTTAAATCGAAAATCTTTATTAATAAATATGAGATAGAGGAAGATCCTGATACTCCGCAATAAAAAACATTAATCTGGACAATGAACGGGACATCCTGTACATAAAGGTGGATCATTATTATAGCCATCACCACTACCATTGTCATAATCAAAATCAAAATGAGATAATGATGGTTGCCGTGTCGATGATTTACTTTTTCGACGTTTTTTAGTTACTCGTTCATAAGCATATTCTTTTTTTCTTTTACTCCGAAGATTATATGGTGATGGTGATGGTGACGGTGATGGTGACGATGATGGTGATGATGATGGTGATGATGATGGTGATGATGGCGGCGATGGCGGCGGCGGTGGTGGTGGTGGTGGTGCTATCGTTGTTATTGTTATTACGGGTGATGGTGATAACAATATTGTTATATTACTATTGTCATTGTTATCTTCGCCGCCGACATTGACGATATTACCACTATCGCCATAGTCATCGATATCGCCGATATCATCGTCATAATTACCAATGTCGCCGATATCATCATTACCATCATCATTTTCGTCATCTTCGTGTTCAGGAATAGGTCCCGTTTTCCATTCCCCTGAAATTTTATTTAGCTCGTCTTGTTTTGTTTTTATTTTACCATTGATTTCGTTCAGAATTTGCTCCTTTTCTATTTCGTACTCCAATATTTCTCGTTTCTAATTCCAGAAAAATACTAATGAATAATAATAAAGCTAATTTAATGCTAAATAAGTTATTTTACTTACTATTTTACCCTCCTTAATTACATCAATCCAATAATCTTCGAACTTTTTCGCACGGCGTTCTCTTTCTAAACTAACCTATTGTATGAAAGTATTTGTTAATAGTGTGTAATTTTTTATTTAGTGATAAAGAGCATGCCAAAATCAAATGCTTTAGGACGAGCCCTATAGTATAGAACAAATCAGTTAATAAAAGACATGCCCCAAAAGGAAGACACATGATCGACTCTTCCTTCAGAATCAATAGACCTTTACCAACGACAAAGTTAGGGTGTCCGAATAGAGGACTTGGAGTGGTTACCAAGTGGTCATACTCGGTAGTTCTCCTAGGCAATGCGCATATTGCGCTTCGACTAGAAGTTACCCTAACCTTGCAAAATAAAAAAATACACACCTTTTCATACAAATCTTCACCAAGTTTTCTTGCTTCTTCTATGAAGTTAGTAGCCCATGAGTTATCAAGATTGCGCCAACGGGAATCGGCCAGAGTGGTTGCAACAATCGCATCTCGATAACGTAGTAGAAAACTCCAGAAAGATTTGTTTTTGCTTTGCGTCAAATAAGACGAAAGTTCTTCGTATCCGGGATATTTTTGTTGGGAAGTCATGGTATATAAAACTTGGTATAAATAGTTTTGTTGAGGTCGAAGAAAAAGTACAAGAATCGTAAAAAACCCGAACCCTTAAACGCGTAGTTTCCCCTTAAATAACGCGTATACTGCCTCAGGGGCTAAAAATTCCTACAAAGAACGACAAGCCATGTGTTAATTTGTCGAATTTGGTTATCTTGCACTTTACAGGTGAGAAGTTGCTATTTTGGGTGCAGAAAAATGCTCCCGTGCATCACTCGTGCAGCATTCTAACTATGTCCACCGTATGTGCTCGACACGTAACGAATTTTGCGAAATCGCTAAGAAATTTTAAATAAATTTCGCAGAACCATTGTTGCTCTAATATAAATTAATTTGTTGATGTTTATTGAATTTCTATTAAATAATTGATGTTTGTTGAATTTCTATATGCAGTGAAAAATCATAAGTCGTTGACCCACCCCTAATTTAATACAGAGGTAACACAAATTTTAAATTTTTTTTTTTAAAAAAATACGTCGTCTAACCTAATTATTAATACATAGTGAAGTCACCATTTGCTTCGATTAAAGCCTCTATACGACATTTCATATTGCAGATCAAATTTTGCACAAGATCACTAGGTAAGTTGTTTCATTTTTTTAATTTAGCCTTTAATTTTTTAAGCGTATTAATTTTTTTTTTTGCTATATTGATTTTCACCAATCTTCAAACATTTTCAATCAGATTCTAGTCTGGTGACATTGCTAGCCAGGGTAGAACCTCAATGCCATTTTCTTTTTTCCATTTGTTTGCCAGTTTGGAGCAATTCTTAGGATCGTTGTCTTCTTGCAAGATCCAATCTATATAATCATTGTTATAAAGTTTAAAGACAAAAGATAAAAGATCCCTCTTATAAATAGAAATCATAAAATCGACATTGAGATTCTGTTGAAAGCAAATTAACTTGCCAAAGCCTGAAGTTGAAAAACAGTTTTAAACATTCACTTTTAATGGATACTTGATGCTACAGAATATTTTTCTTTTTTTAGAAAACTATTATACTTTTCTTATAGGTTGATATAAACAAATGATACTTTTATCTAAAAAAATAACATTATTCCAGTTGAAATTTTGATGCTTTTTTGCCTATTACAAGTATTTTTGTTAGTGCTTCTCAATAAGTAAAGGTTTAAACAATTTGTTTATATATTTTTTCCCAAATTTATAAAGACATCAATTAATTATACTTAAACTAACTTCAATCTTTCGTTTTTTTATTTGCTTTTGAATTTCAATAGTACTTGGATCCATTTTTTTCTTCACAATCTGAACGATTACTTGATCTTGCTTTGAGGTTGTTTTGTGCGGCCAGTCAGTTATTTTATTGTCACTTAAATCCTTTGATTTTTTCCATCTTTAAAACCAAAAAGTCATTGTACTTTTAACACAACTAATATATTCAACTGTATCTTTAAGTCCCAACTTTGGTTCTAAGGAATAATAATGCAAAAAGATGATTTCGTATCACTTATGGATTGGTAAAGTCATTTTTTGGTTATGGGAGTTTAAGTAACTTCTAATTCCAGATGGAGACAAGATACTAACCTATAAATAACATGCCAATTAGTATTCGTGTTACTTTTCATACACACAAAATTTTAAGATAATACATTCTATTTTCAGAAAGTTAGAGATGGGTCGACGACTTATGATTTTCACTATAATTTAATTATAAACTTTTAATAAATTCTCATTAAATAAATGGTTTAAAGATAGATCTGAAATTTTTTGTGATTCTAAAATTTATATTATATGTATTATTTAAAAGTTGGATTCGAAAAAATTATATCTAGCATTTTTGTTGCCTTCAAAAATAATTATTCAAATATTTTATAAACAATACTTTTATGAATTATATTATTAAATTTGTTGTTACATGAATTTTAGATATTTTTTTATTTATACATTATATATATTTTATTATTATTGTTTTTTTTTTTAATAGATAAACATTATTTCTTTATTTGATTTATATATTAAAAGTATACATCATGAAAAAAACAATATTTCTTATAAGTGAGTACAATTAATAACTTCTAAACTAATATTGAAAAGAAATTTTAAAACAATATATCTTGTTAAGAGATTTTGAGCAGTTATAATTACCTACTCAGTATTGAATAGAAGAAAATCAAGATAATCTGTAATTAATTTAAAAATGTATTTAATAAAATTGAATTCATTTTGGATATAAGAATTAGCAACTATGATAGGTATGTTTATAATAGTTGATATTGAAGTAGAGGAGTTGTTAGAAGATTTGAATTTGATTGGATTTTTGATCACTTGTTTTGATGGTTTGCTATAAAAATTATTGTTTTATTTGATACTAGAGGAAAAGTATTTGTTGTGACACAGTAAAATATCTAGATTAACTTATATAAATGAGTTAGATTCTCAGTTAAAACTTTGATCCAGTTAGAAAAATTTGTTATAAAGAAGATATTGTCAGTAATGCCACATGCCTCTTAAGTCTAATCATTAATAAACATCTATAATAGAAAGTATTAACATCTATAATAGAAAGTATTATTAATTAAAGCAAATATGATTGATTTAATTTAATATTACTTGCTTTAAGTTTATCTATAGAATTGTTATTAAATAATTCTATTTGAGATACAATATATACTTAAAAATTTTATAATAAACTTGATATAACTGTTTATTGCTTATTCCTGGCCTTTTATAATTATTATATAGATTATCCAATGGAAAAATTATATTTTTCATTATATTTTATAGTTAAATAAGTTATGTCAAATATATTTCTCATTATTTTTAAGCCTTAAAATCAAAAAATCAATAAAAAATTACTTATTAAAGACTTGAATTACTTGATTTTTATACTGTTTATATAATATTTTTTTTAATATAATATAATATATGTTTAAAAAAAACCAAGATCTAATATATACTATTAGCGTGTAAAAAGGTGATAGAAAATAATAAGGAAAAAGGTATAGTAAGTATATCAAGTATAATAGGTATATCAGGTATAAAGTGTATATCAGGTATAAAATGTATAGTAGGTATAAAGTGTA